ATTGTCTTGAGGTCTAAAATGCTGACAAACGAGGTACCTGAGGCTAGCCTGTTGAGACCATCTTGATCTCGCGAACTCATTCACTTTCGGTCTGCATCAGTCTGGTTTTCTACACATGTTGCTGACAAATACCCGCCGTCCAATCACAGCTATTTATTTGTTTTTTTGGTAGGCTATGTGATTTCGAAACGTCTATTGCGAAATGCGAATGTTTGAATGAAGTAGATGAAATTTTCTTTAAAAGCAGAACAAATGCTCTCAGGCCCTTAATTGAAAAGGATGTGTTTGTCATTCACTTTCAACAGGTTTTGGTTTTAATTTACTGGCCATTGCGTGAAGATGCATTTCAGTGGCGGCGCACGTTGATATGGCCTCTCATAGTAGAAAATCAACCACTTTGCCTCAGGCAAACCTAACCTGAGGCACCTTGGCTAAAAATGGCTAAAAGAAATTATGGTGAGAGTAAGATCTAACAAGTTTGGATTAAATCTATTAGGGTTTGATGTGGGGAAAAAGCACAGCAAAAAGCACACCTTGATAATGCTGTCTGCAATACATACTGTAAGTCTATTTAAACAGAAACTATCTTTGCTTTAACAGGTGCTTCCTGGGCATCAATCCTGAAAGAGGCTCAAAGACCAAGAAGCGGACAACAATGAACCTTCATGTGAGCACCCTTTTGAGGAAACTTATTGACTTTGAGTGGGCATAATTTTTTTTTTTGCAGCGGTAGTTGTCAGGCTCAGATTTGAGTAGCCTTGTTCTTTTTGTAATTTTTCAAGACAACTTTGCACTACAAGATTTTTACACAATGCTGTTGTGTGTCGACTCATTATAATGTTTGAGACTGAGAGGAGCACCTGACCCCTTTAAGACATTCCTTCATCGCTCTCTCCCTCTCCCTCTCCTCTCTTATCTTGCCGTGAAGGCCTCATTCCCATCCTGTCCATTACTGTTACTGTGACACAGCTAGTTGAATAGTTGAATTGTGAAACAGGTAGTTTAATTGCAAGTTGGCACAATTTTCTGCATTTTAAGATGGCTTTTAGGACTAGAAAGTTGAATTTCTTGAACTCTTGAAGTTCTTGGCATCTGCTGTACATTGAAAAATATTTATTTGTTAATATAGCCATTGGGCTAACATTGAATTTACCTCAGAGTTGTTTGTTGGGGGGAGGGGGTTAATTGTACAATGATTGTAAATTCACAGTAAATGGAAGCTTCATCTGTATTACTTTTACAGTACGTTACTGTTTTAGCATGACTTCCACAGTATACATTGCAAATTCACAGTAAGTTATTGTCAACTTGTACATTACTTTCACAGTACACACTGTAGTAGTAAGTACAGGGCCTTGTTGTAATGATGTACAGCAAAAGATTGTAATTCCCCAGTAATGTACTGTAATATCACAGTAATTCCTTTGTCATTGAAGCTGTGAAGTTACAGTATACAGTTGTGCTTTTACAACAATGCATTGTAACATCACAGATATAAAATTACAGTAAATTGCTGTGAGTATATTTCACAGTATATCGCTGTAATCCTTACTGTGAAAATCAAACAAAATTTATCCAATTAATTATTTTAAATTCACAACGAAAAAATTTGCAGTGTGGCATATTTTGAGCTGTCATGTTAATATGCACTGTCCTTGCACATAAATAAAATAAATATATTTTAAAAAGTACTTTTTACGCAGGAATGACCAGTTTCAGAAAAGTGTTTATATCATTGGTGTAGGAGCCATACTGCCCGTTTTCCTCCAAGCCACAGGGGGCATGATATTGTTTTGTGTGCTGAGGCAAATGCTGGCCTCAGCCTATTTGAGTTCCTGTAATATTTTCTGGCAAAGAATGCCTCTTTTTAAGACAGACGGACTTCACCCAAAGAAACGGGGCTCAGAAATGTTAGCTGCTCACATACAGCATGTGGTGCGGTCCACACATGACTTACGTGAATGACTAATCATTCATGCAGCACACCTGGACACACCACCGCTCACTGAACAGATCTCTGCCTCACTGCCAACTGTCTCCACCTGCTGGCATGTAAAGCTGTCTGCTCCCAGCGTTGGACTTCTATTCCTGTCATCATCACGCATAGACCAGTAGCCCGAAATGTGCACGTCCCACACAGAAATATTAGTAATCTCTTAAGGATTAGGACAACTGCACCAACTCCAGCACCCAGAACAAACTCATTTAAAATGGCTCTCTTCAATGTGAGATCACTTTCAAGTAAGACTTTTATCTTAAATGATTTTATCTTGTCTGCAAATCTAGATTTTATGTTTTTAACTGAATCATGGTTGCAAATGAATGACTATAGCCAGCTAGCTGAACTGTGTCAATATGATTCTTTTAGTCAACCGAGGGTCAGTGGACGTGGTGCGCTAGTGAGCGTGTATAGGAAAAGTTTTAAATGTCATCAAGTACGCTGTGATGAATTTAATCAGAACTTCCTGAATTTTTATCTACTCTGGTTTTAAATTATGACAGAATTGTTCTTTGTGGCAATTTTAATATTCATGTTGATGACCCCAACAATGTTAATGCAACTGACATTTTAAATATGGCCACTTCTTTTAACTTCAAACAACATGTCAAAGGACAAACACATAACCGTGGTCATACACTAGACTTGGTTTTTACCCTGGGTGTCAGCATTTCCTCTGTGGAATTAGTGGACATGACCATATCTGACCACAGATGTATTGTTTTTAGCTGTGATTCGCCTGTTACTCATGTCGCCTCACCAAGCTCCGTGTGTTCTCGCATCTTTAATGAACAAAGTGTTCACATTCTTTCAGAGCCAAAGCCAACATCTGTCTGATTCCAACACCAACAATCTAGTCGATCACTTCAATCATATCTGCTTGTCGTCACTAAATATTACTGCTCCTCTAAAGGTTAGGCCTACGTCTAAAGCTAGTAAGCAACCCTGGATAAATGACAGCATTCGCAGCCTAAAAAGGGAATGCAGGAAAGCAGAGCGCAGATGGAAAAAATCCAGTCTCCAAGTCCATTACCTCAGTCTGAAGGATTTATTAATTAAATACAATAACTTGGTTAAGGATGCGAGAACACACTATTTTTCTGAACTCGTTACTACACAAACACAATCCCAGCTTTCTGTTTAAGACTGTAGTTCAGCTGGTAAACCCAACCCCTCCTTGTGCCTCAGCTGGAAGTAATGATGACTGTGAATTGTTTTTATCTTATTTTACCAATAAGGTGGTGTCAATCAGAGCCTCTATTACCCCCGCGGCCTCTTACTCAGAGGTTCCTCACCAGCAACAAGAGCGTTTTAACCAGTTTTATCCCATCGCCTTGTCTGAGCTTTTAAAAACAGTATCACAAATGAGAGTGTCCTCCAGCCCACTTGATGTAATATCTACAAAGTTTTTACTGAAAATAATGGATTCTGTTGGGCCCCATTTGGTCTCTGTTTTCAACAGCTCCCTATCTACTGGTTGTGTCCCTGATTATTTTAAAACGGCTTGCGTGAACCCACTTTTAAAGAAACCTGGTTTAGATCCCTCCCTCCCACATAATTTTAGACCAATTTCAAAACTGCCTTTTATTGCAAAGATTCTAGAAAGAATTGTGTCCAAACAGCTGCTCACTGTACTGGAAAATAACAAATTATTTGAAAAGTTTCAGTCTGGTTTTAGGAAGTACCACAGCACTGAGACTGCCCTGCTTAAAGTCACCAATGACCTTTTAATGTCTGCTGATGAAGGCATGTGCTCAGTCCCGGTACTCCTGGACCTTAGCGCTGCTTTTGACACCATTGATCACAACATCATATTAGACAGACTGAGGCACTGGGTGGGGATCTCTGGTACTGCCCTAGAATGGTTTTCATCCTACCTGTCAAATAGGAAGTTTTGCGTATCTGTAAACAACTATGTCTCTTCGTTCTGTCCAGTTAAATATGGTGTGCCTCAGGGGTCGGTCTTAGGACCCATTTTGTTTTCCTTGTATCTGCTTCCCCTTGGACATATTATCCATAAACATGGCATTTCTTTTCATATTTATGCTGATGACACACAAATATACTTGCCCGTCAGATCCACAGACCCTGGAATGCTGAGTTCACTTAACAACTGCCTTTGTGAAGTTAAAAAATGGATGTCAAATAATTTCCTCCAGCTGAACTCAAGACAAAACAGAAATCCTGGTCATTGGGTCCCAGCAGATGGCAAATCAAATACTGCCATCTGCTGGTTCCCTAGTAAATCACATTAAGCCTGTGGCAAAGAACCTTGGTGTTTGGTTTGATAGTAATTTAAATTTCGAGCAGCACACCACAAAGCTTGTTCAATCATGTTTTTATCAACTTAGAAATATAGCAAAAATTCGATCTATGTTAACTTTTAAGGACACCGAGACCATTTTACACGCCTTCATCTCATCACGCCTGGATTATTGCAACAGCCTTTTCACCTGTTTAACCCATAAATCTATTGATCGACTCCAGACTGTCCAGAACTCAGCTGCCAGGCTTTTAACCAGAACAAAGAAATATGACCACATTACTCCTATTTTAGCTTCATTACACTGGCTCCCAGTATGTTTTAGAATTGATTCTATTGATCACTTTTAAAGCTCTTCATGGCCTCTCGCCTTGTTATATTTCTGACCTTTTAGTCCCATACACACCAGCACGCACCTTGAGATCCCCAGGCAGAGGTCTGCTGTCTGTTCCAGAGTCTCGACTGAAAACTAAAGGGGACAGAGTGTAGCACACAGGAAGGATTATGGGTAGGGCTGTGATCTGATTGGTTGGTTAAGTCAGTTGGTTCGGCTGCTGGAGCAAAAGTGAGGTGTTTAAAATGAGACTCAGAGACCAAGGATTAGATGTAAGATGATGCCGGCTTCTTATATTTGAAGATATGTATAAAAATAAAAATATTGGTTGGTACCAAAAATGAAAAAGTACAATAATAAAACAAGTAATGAATAAGGCGATTATTGATATCACAATCAGGCTATGACATCAGCATGAAATGCTTGCTTTCCAAATTTAGTATTAGTTGAGTATTTCACTCTTTGAAGTAGTTCTATAATTAAATTCCCGGGTGCACCCTTTAAACCTGAATTTCTGTTAATAACACCACATTCAAGTTTGTTCAGATCCAGTTCAATAATACAATCCTGTAGAATTCACACAGTACAACAGTAACCCTTAACTGCAGGAATGATTCCTACTACTCAGCTCCAAATTCTCAGTCCCAAGGTGTGAACAGGTGAGTTTGTTTAAGAGAGTCCAAAGTCCAAACAAAAAATGGATGTGTCGAAGGTAAGTCAGAGTTCCATAGGGTTGGTGTATGTATGTGTGTGGGGGAAGGAGTGTGAAGGTGAGTTAAGGGGTTTTGTGTTGTAGTGGGGCCTACCCCACCGCAAAGTGCAGTAGTAGCGGGACAGGTCCAGTGATCCTGAAGAGGGAATGGCTCCCACAATCATTCAAGAGGGACGGCTCGCCATCAATTTTCATCCGCAGATCCAATCCAGACAATGGAAGAAGAAACACGCACACACAACAAAAAACCTGACTTGTCAACAGACAGGGTCAGAGAAATATTCACTGCTTAAGTCTCATGCAATAATATACACTACATGAAATTCACAATACACAATGATATACATATTGTGGGTGTTTACTTTCTGTGCCTCTCTCTCAAATTCAGCATATAAACATAAATAACTAAATAAAATAACCGGCTGCACACAACCGGATAAGCTGCACCAATAAGCTGCACGTTAGAACAATTAAAGTTTTGATGCAAGTGCAAAATAAAGTAAGCTGAGTTTACACATTAAACAACACAGTAAACCAGCTTGTTCAACTAAAATTGTAGCTTCATATTCACTAAGTGCACATAAATAATTTAAGGTACAAAGTAAGTGAAATTCCTAAGTTGAAAATGAACAGTCTCACCGATTTCACCAGAGCGGCTGGACACACACCCAAAATGGCGGCGCCCAGTAAAGCTACAAGGTCTTCTAAAACGAAACATACGAGACCGTATGCAACTTTCAGTACTTTCTCTCAGTGCAAAATAAATTAGCTTTCACAGTAAGGTGATAAAGAATGAACAAAAGCAGTTTTAAATGAATTACCTCGCTCTTGAATCAGCAAAGACTGCGCGTCGCGGGAATCCTACGGACATCAAAGCTACCGACGCTGCTCAAGCGCTATATCTAAACACTGAACTTACAACTAAATTCTTACTGCAGTTAGCTACCACGTTTGTAGTGTTGAAGTTAGCCTCAGTGTAGTTCGTTTTTAGCTGTATTTTCTCCAGGTTTCTCCGTTTTTCACAGTTTTCATCCTCTACAGCAGCTTAGCACTTCTGTCTCTCCACACACACACAGCAGCGGGGGAAAAAAAAAAAAACTTTCGCTCGCTCCCAGAGACGCGGGAGCAGGTGGGCGGGCCTTTAAAATCCTTAGATAATCTTCAAGTTGCATTTCAAAAATAAAATCACTCATTCAGATTTTTATAGGCTTTTCCTATTTTTAAACCTAGATCATTTCATCTGTGTTACAAGAGCGTTTGCTGTCAGGGCCCCGAGGCTCTGGAACAGCCTGCCCAAAGAAATCAGGTCGGCTGAGTCAGTGAACTCTTTTAAGTCCCTTCTTAAAACATACTTTTATAGGAGAGCCTTTCCCGATCTTATTTGACTTTATTTTATCCCTTTTATTTTATTGTATTTTACTAATTTTATATTTATCTTAAACGTTTAAAAAAAAAATTGTCTTTTCAATGTTTTCATGCTTTTATCTTGTATTGTTTTTGTATTATTGTCTCTTGGGTATTATTGTCTTTACACTTGTTAAAGCACTTTGTAACTTGTTTGTGAAAAGTGCTCTACAAATAAAGATTATTATTATTATTATTATTGTTACAAACAGATGTGGTTAATTGAAGAAGAGCAGCAAACAATTTTTAACTGTGCTCAGATTATGTTGTTTATTCTACTTTATATTACGTATTATTTATTGTAAGTGGTCGCAAGAAATAAACGGCAAACTGCAAACTTGCGGAAAAGACTGGATATCACGTTGTCTAAAGAATAAGAGGTAACCTTAACTCACAGTCAACATTGGCAGTAAAGAAAAAAGTGCATTTTCACCACTTATTTCATTTAGCTACTGAATACAAGGTGAGAAGGAGAAACAGAGGCATACTGCAGTTGTCTTTTTAACTGTATTATCAAAGCACAAAGGAGATGGGGTGGCAACACCTCAGCCATGGAGAAGATGAAGCACAGTCTTGTACCACTTGAGCGACCACAGGGTCGCTGACCAGAATGGAGATAATCAACAGGCTTGCTTGTCTAGGATAATTAAAGCCTAATGCTTTGGGTAAATAACAAACAAAACTAATGTCAAATGGTGAGACACTGCACCACCGCACCACCCTGCAGAAGTAGATGTGTTTAAAAATATAGGCTACTTTTTTAACCAAAAGTAAAAGTACTCATTATGCAGAATTACCAATTTCAGAAAAATGTATATGATTGGATTATAATTATTAATGCATCAATGTGTAATCATCACTTTAATGTTGAAGTTAGTAAAGTTCAGGGACATTTTAGCTACATTATATCTTGTGAATGTCCCCATGGTGATTAACATAGTTTTATCTTAATTTGTAATATTGTATCATGCTTTTAATTGTATTTCGTATTGTTAATTTGGTTATACTAAGTTAAATAGAAATTTAGAAGAAATAATAGAAGAAATAGAAGTACAATATTTGACTCTGAACTTTAGTGGAGTAGAAGTACAAAGTAGCAGAAAATAGAAATACACAACCAGCTCAGTGGTTGGAGATAGTTTAAAGAAAGAATTTCTCCTGCTTCTTCGAGAGTCAGAGCTCCTTAAAGGTTTTAACTCTGTTTTGACTTTGGATAAAATATTTCTTCCATAACATCATTTGCTTAATCTAAAACATGCAGGTCTCCACTCTTGACAGCACCTGCTGCTTTCAGTGCTGCTTCCAGCGGGGTGTCTGCTCCCTCAGCTGCATTATAGCCTTTAAAACCTCCTATCACTGCTCCCAGCACAGCAGATGCCCCTATAACAGCTGCTGCTGCTGCTCCTCCTACTGTTCCTCCTGCTGCTGCTCCTCCTGCTGCTGTTGCTCCTGCTGCAATATTCTTTAAAGCTACGACAACTAATTCAACCATCACTACCACACCAAATAAAGCTCCTAACAACGTACCTGTTGCAATACCTGCTAATCTGACCGAAAGCTTTGTGGATACTCTGCCCTCAGCCTGCTCTCTGATCTCTTTCTCTGACTTGTCTCCTGGTAACAGTTGAATCTGCTTCTTCTCTCGCTGTATTTCTTCCTCCACTGCTTGTAGCATTTCATTGGTGTAGCAGCTCCCGTTGTTTTCCATCACCGTCTTGTCTATTGACTTAAGTAGCTCCTCCACCTGGAACTTGTTGCTCCTGTATTCATCCTTTGGGTTTTCGTTCCAGTATTTATTATCAACGACATGGCAACGGCCTCCGCACTTCTTCACCAGATCACTCGTGAACTCGTTCTTCTGGACATGATCCTCAATTTTCTGTCCTTTACGGAGCTGGTCACCATGAGTAAAGATAACTGTTGCATATTGGAAAGCTTCTTCAGAAAAGCATTGGCTTATTTTGTTGATGACAGCCTGCTCATGCTCTGTGACTTTCTCTACTTTAAGCAAAATGAGAAAAGCATGAGGACCAGGAGCGCACTTTATGATACAGCTCACTATCTCAGACTTCAGCTCCTCCTCAGATCTATCAGTGTCAAAGAAACCAGGAGTGTCGATCAAAGTGATGCTTCTTCCATTGACAGATCTGGTCTCTACTTGACATTTTCTTGTTCCAGAGTCGAGAGAATCATCGATCTCGAACAGTTCCTCTCCAAATATGGTGTTAGCCAGGCTGCTTTTTCCAACTCCAGTTTTTCCCAAGATGACAATTCTTCTGTTTGACCCTGAAAGAAAATAACCAGTCATTTATACTGTAAATTTGTGTTTTGAAATTATTTCGCTATAAAATAGCTGCATTAGCATGATACACATATGAACATTGGTATCAATAAATAAAAGAAGCCTGCATGTATTTTATTGATCAAGAACACCTCAAATCATTTCAGTAGCCTATCAATCACTCTTCAACAATAAGGTAATCTATTGTGGTAAAGACCACTGAGGATCATTCTGTAAACAGCTTTTAATATGACACATTAAAAACTGGATTTGGATTTGGTTTAGTTATTTTGTGTGTTATTTAGTCCTTCCTTATTTGTATCTTCTAATATGGTGACATCAATGGAATAATAATTTGGTAATAATATAATAAAGGGTGGATTTTTTCACAGTATAACAGGATACTATGATTAGTAACACCTTAACAATCACATGACATTTTTGGTTTGTGAAAATAATTAATTAGCGTAACATATTATAATGCTGACATTTACCCTCCATTATGTCCAAACACTCCCCTTTGTTTCAAGGTAATACTGTATAAATTATGTTTAATGCTGTGACTGCAAACACTTGTGTTGTTTTTCCATAGACTCACAATGGTTAGACAGCACTTGTGGAGTGCTAACATTGACACACTAAGACAGTTGTCTGTGCCACACTTAAGCCATTAAATCTAATTTAAAATATATAGCCAACTAGAAAGGATTGAAAGATCAAATTAGTTCCGTTAGTCAGTTTACATGCGAGTATAGTTTAGTTCTGTATGCCAATTATTTCTCTGTGAGAGACGTAGTGTTTAGTTTACCTATAGGCTTTAGACCAGCAGTGAAAAGTTTGGAGTGTTATTTACTTGGGAAAGTCTAGGAAAGTTTTTCCACTTTTTAAATTCAACAAGGGAAATCATCAAGTAAACTTTACTTGCTAATACAAGTTTCCTTTACTAGCAAACCTCAGGTAATTTACTGTTGTTTATTAATATGGTTATTGAATTTCACTCTACTTCTTTGTAAGTTTTACTTAAACACTGACTGCTTCAAACTGAAAAATATCACCTAAAACCAACCTTTTCAAGGTAATTTTTAAATACCTTTTCTATCTTTTATTTATGGACTATATTTAAGTAACATTTACACAACATTTTACATAATATTCATTGAAACAATTAACACAAAAAATGAGGCAACTGTTTCATTTAACAACCCATTTATTTTTCTTAAGTGAAAAATTATTTTTTCAATAAAACATTTTCCAGCAAGTTTGCATGGCAAAACAACAAGGTATAGTTCACCCTAAGATTAATTTTGTTATTATTTACTCACCCCTTTGTCAATAGAAGGATTGGTGAAGTTTTGTTAATATCCGTGTTCTTCTGCAAGTTTGAGAGACATTTTTTCAACTCAACTGCAGTGAGCAGTATCTTAGCTTCAAACGTCCAAAAATACATCAATAATCAATAAAATGTCTCCATACTGCCTTTCTGAGTGTCCTGTAGATCACACGTGCCAAGACGTTTGTAAAAAACATTACAATCTTGTGTTCAGCTTAGTTTGCTCCTCTGCTCTTCCCATGTGTGCTCCTTCCAATGCCAGAAACAACTAGTACACACTACTAACTTCCAGCTACCCCATCCATGTTCACGCAGCACCACAGAGGAAGCTGAGCAAACACAATTTTGTTATGTTTTTTTCAAAATATCTAGGAAGTGTGTAAGCTGCAGGACACTTGCATTACTTCAGATGAGCAGTATGGAGACATTTCTTTGATACATGACATATTTTTTGGATGTTTGAAACCAAGTTGCCGTTCCCTGCAGTTTTGTAAGAAAAAAGATCTCGGCAAACTCCCTACTCAGTCCTTCTAGGGTGAGTAGATGATGACAGAAATTTCATCTTAGGTTGGCTATAATGGGTTTGAGGTAGCTTGTTAAAAGGCACAAGGACAAGTTCAGGAACTGTTTGCATAGAGCATACGTAGCCTATCTTTTGGATATGCTTTTAAACCTTAAACTCTTGAAAAAAAACATTTGACATGCTTCAGGAACCTTCAGTGATGCCCATATGCAGAAGACAGGCCTTTGCAACACTTCCACAGTTGTCAAGTACCTCAGTCCTTTCAATAACAATCGACAGTGTCGGATGCACCTTCATCTTCTTCACTTGTGTGGAAGA